AAAGGCTCCAGGGAGACCTTCTAGCAGCCTTCCAGTACTTAAACGGAGCCTCACAGGATTGATGGGGAGGGACTTTTTACAAGGGCATGTAGTGATAGGACAAGGGGTAATGGCTTTAAACTGAAAGGCAATAGATTTAGATTAGATATAAGTAGTTGTTCTTTACTGTGAGGGTGGTGAGGCACTGGCACAGACTGCCCAGAGCAGCTGTGGCTGCCCCCTCCCTGGAAGGGTTCAAGGCCAGGTTGGACGGGGCTTTGAGCAACCCGATCTAGTGGAAGGTGTCCCTGCCCATGGCAGGGGGTATTGGAACTAGATGATCTTTAAGGTCCCTTCCAAACCAAACCAGTCTATGATTCTATGAAAACAGGGTCCTCCAGCCCTAGAGGAATGAACCTGTTTGGTGGGATGTGCTGAAAAGCCCATGAAGGAGAGAAAACCTTCATATACCACAGGAGACAGGACAAAGACAAATTTTCACTGCGCCAGGCTGCCTTCAGCCAGCTTGGAAACCAGTGGCTGGCTGAGCACATGACAAGAAGTCAACCCAAAGAAAGAAGGAAATTAATCTGTTCTCATTCATGGAAAGCGTAAGCCTTTACACAGATCTTTGAAAGTACACCCACTGTGCATCAATAATAATGATGCTACTTCACTCTATTAGTCTGAGGAGACAAAATTTAAGTAACATACTCCTGGCTCTGCACAATAACCAGCTACCACTGGGACACTGACTCAAAAGTCACTGCCTGCAAGCCTGAGGCTCACTTTGCACAGCCAACTGAACCTCATTCTTATAGGAAGGACCAGGATGATTCCTAGTCACTTGTCAGGGCTGGCTAGCCAGACCAGAGTGTCATAGCTGATTCCAGATGCATATGACAGCAGAAAATAATTGATATGACTTGCTAGTCCCCAGCACTGTGTATGCACGTGTACAAGCTGCAAGGGTACATGATGTCATCTGACACAGTGGCTTTGTTAGTCCATCTCTCCCTTGTAAGCAAGCGTAAGGCTAAAATTATGTAGCAAAGAAATGCAGTTCTCTGTCACCAGACCCACATATGACTCCATTTCATTGATCAACATTAAGGAAATTACAAACATGTCTTAATTACCTCTGCCCAAGACAAAAAGGAATATGCCAAATACATAAGTAATTTAACAACTTTTGTTGATTGGAACATCAATTGTATCACCTCCAAAGTTGTTTATGTCAACAGCAAAGCAGGAATGGAATTGCCACCCTTAAAGTGCTCGGTTTTTTTCAGCTACATGTTCTAGCCAGTTAATTTTTTAACACACCACAATCCAACTGTTTCGTTCTGATAACACCTAGGGCCACTAATTAAGGGCTTAGTTTGACTAGCAATGCACAGACTTGTTCCAACCAGATGCTCCCTGCCCCAAGGAGCTTGCTTGCAAGCAAAGCTTAGAAAATAGACACCTACACTTAAGCCACTACACAAATATGCAAGGGCACAAGAGTTAAGGGATTTGGAAAAAATGCATTTGTGTGAGAAACCACTACCTCAAGTTGCAGGGATGAACAAGACGTTTCATTTGTAGAAAACTCACCGAGTCAGTTGGAGAGTACTTCTAAGGGCGCAATATCAGTACTCCATCACATAAACCTACATGCAACCTCAGGATATGCATTTTAAAAGCTCCTTGAACAATTTTACTCATAGTTCAGGAAGGGCTTCCCAGGGATACTAGTCCAAAACTAAGAAAGAAAATAAAAAACTGTACTAGACTGTAATACTGGACAAACAATGAAAAATTCATGCCTTGAATTACAGTCCTCTCTCACTTTCCTTATTTGAAGTATTGCACTACAGTATGGGGGAAGGCCCTGTTCTCACTCCTCTCTCCTGTCCCACAAAGTCTGCTCTGGAACAGACCCAGCTGCCAGCTGCTATCAAATATAAGCCCTAACCTGTAAAGTCAGATCTGCTTTGGGCTCTCAATTTCTAACAGCCAGCTAAAAACCGGAGGTTCCTGAATCTAGCCTAATCTCTAGCAAATAACACCAGACCATTGAAGCAAGAGGTGGCACAACAGGCTGAGACACAAGGCTCCAATTCACAACCCTGTCTTGGATTTAGCTGCAGCAGCTGAAGGACTCTAAGCTAATGGGCCCGACTATGAACCATAACAGCTCAGGAGTAGCCATGCTGCCACTTTGCTGCCCCTGCCTACAGGAGCACAAGTGTCCAGTGGGGAGACAGTAAGGTCAGCAGGACCAGTCTTCCAAGGTTAAGGGTTCAGATTTGAACCCGAACTACCACACTTCACAGCCTACCCACCCTTATCAGAAACCGCTGGCAGCACACACTAACCCAACAGCAGGTAAAATGTCAGTCAATCTCTCCCTTCCCATTACGGTGACTTCTGGTGGAAGGGCAATTAAGGGACACTAACTTCCTCGGCAACATCAGCACAAACCAGGAGACTTCTTGAGTCACAGGCCTCTGAGTAGCCTTAGCTGTCAGCTGCCTAAATACCAAGGAAGAAAAGTCCATTACATCAACACCCAAAGTTTGTATATCTCCTGGTTTCACTTATAGGAAGCAATGGCAGACTCTCAGCTTCTTCAAGTGGGGGAAGACTAGGAAGACCTATCACAGCCACACTAAATCAATTTGGGGCATATGGCACCAAAATGAGATCTTTACAGTGAGCAGAAATCTCATCCTGAAAAGAGTCTCAAAGCTTGGATGCCAATCCAAGGTTGGTCAAATCTCCCAAACTTACAAAAATGAGTTGACAATTTACCCAAGGACAGCCTCCCAGGTCTTTGTCTAATGGTAATACTGTTGCAAACTAGAAAAACAACAGCATCTTGCTTTCCCTTGAATTTGAGGACTTACAACAAAGGTGATAAAGTGTAAAAGCAAGTGGGTAATGAAAGACAAGAGCAGCTAAGCATACTGTTTTTAAAGCTCAGAAAGCTCTTGGCTTGGGTGGTAGATGCAGATCAGCTCTTATTCTATCTAAATTAGTTGCTCATTCTCCACTTACACTACTACAGATCTGATTTTATGCTCACACCTAACTGACTTTTCACTAGGTTTCAATGACAGCAGACTGGACCTTTTAAATAACACACGTACCATACATGCCTGACTAGGTACAGACCTGCACAGACACAGATCAATGTGAGGAAGGTGGGAAGGCAGAAGTCCGGTCTGTTTCTGGAAACCCCACATCACCTGAGGGCAGTAGAGGGAGATGGTACAGGACACTTGGCTTCATCGCAGGGTCCATGCACAGTGAAGCCACGGGGAGCTCCCACACCACTCGCTGCTTGTGACACCTATCCCGTGTCCACACCTGCAAGGAGATCTGGCCCAATACCTAAGAGAGAGCACTGAATGCTCTGTTAAGAGATCAGTACGCTGGTACAAGGCTTAACCAAGACCAGGCAACTACACATGGTCCCCAAAGGCCTACAAAATATATATAAACCCAGAGTTTGAAAGTCTGGCTTTCTGCCCATACACATGTATAACCAGTCATTGTACCACTCCCCACAGCAGGCTGCAATGATACTTCTGATGGTCTATGCATTAGCTTTGCAAGAAACAGTGCAAGCTTAAGCCTCTCTTCTCTATTGAGCCTACAAAAATGCAGACCACCTGTTTGCAGCATGAAACCTTGGCACCAATATGAACAAAATGGCTGCAGATACCCACTCCCGCAGGTTTTCCTGCATGCCTCCAAGCATCCTGAAGGCTGTATATACCCCTGAGAGCTCCTTCCAAAGATTCTCACAGTTTCACAACCTGAAGCTCTAAGAGACAAACAATAAAGCTAAAGGAGGCAATCACAGCCACAAGGCCCCAAAACAGTGTTCAAAAGAAATCACTCACTGCCTCTGCAGAGATATTCTGCACTGAATCAGTCCACCACAACCTAAAGCATTGTCCTTATTTCCAAAAATAAAATCTAATCCTGCCTCCCCCAAGAACCACAGAATGTGCAATCCCCACAGGAAGAAGTACATGGACATAGCAAACTTTGAGGAAACATCAGCACTGTTTCTGACAAAGTTGACATCAGCCTGTCCAGAGTGACTGCGCAGAAGTGCAGCCACACAGCAATCCGCCTCTGTGTAACACATACAAAAGACTCCGCTAGAGTCTGGTATACGGATCCCCAGCCCCCAACTCGGGCAACGAGGGCTGCTGCTTTCCCTAGATCCCTTCTTTGATTTGGGGCCAGGCACTACACTTCCCACACTACTGGCACCAATCCAGAGTAACTCTGCTGATTTCAGGGGGTATCCCTTGGTTCACAACACTTTCACCAAATCACAATCTGGTAATTTTTTGTAACTCACTTATCATGACTCCATTTTTATCCCATTGCATATGGCTCAAAAATTCCTCCTTGCATTTGGCAGGAAGGGCTTAGATATTCCTTATCCTGAATATGTGATCCTCATTTTTCTTCTGAACACTGATAAAGGACATATGCAGAGTCTGGAAAGCCATGGGTCAATACAGTGAAACAGACAGCAAACTTCAGCTCAGATTCCAGCCTTCAGGACCAGAAGGGAGAGAAATGCAAATAACATGCTGAAAGGCATTTTAGGCAAATCATGTTTGTACAGTACCTAGCACACTGGGGTTCTAAACCGGCAAGGTCTGGGAGGCTACAGATTGCACACATACAAAGGTAACTAGACAGGCAAATGCCTATGTAGTTAAATGTGAACCCCGTTAAAAGTAAGTACTTCTAAAGAACAAGCAGATACATCTGCCTTTATCCACCTTTCTGTATTACCTATTGAATTGTGCAGGCTAACTCTGAGAGCAAAGGAAGAGGACTTTAGTAACAGAAATAGAGCCTAGGCCAGTTCCTACTGAGCACACTAGCTGAGAGGAAACTGGCTCAGCATAATAAACATTGCAAGTTACCAGCTTCCCAAGGCCCCATTACTAGTTACCTGAAGGGTGCAAAAAAACAACCGAGACAAAACCGGCTATTCTCACCTTTAGCTGGAAAGGTTGAATTTCGTTCAAACTTTGGTTCCTGAGCTTTTTGGTGAGGATCTTCAGCATGGTACAAATCCGAGGAGCCAAGAAAGGGTTAAGTACACACACACACACGCATCTACATCTGCCGAGCCGCTGCTGCTACGCTTGGAGGAGCTCCGCAGAGCTCGCATGCGGCACCCCCAGGTACGCGGCGGGGGGGGGAGCTGCGGCCAGCCCGCTTCCAGCTGCGCCCCTCTCTCCTCCGCCACCGCGCTCCGTCCTGCAGCCCTCCGCGAGGGGAGGGAGAGGGAATTCCCCCTTCCACAGCCTGAAGGAAAAAACAAATAAATACCAAACTTCTTTGCTTTCCACCCCCTCCCCGGTTACGCTTCAGAAAGGAGGGAGGTACCAGCTGGCAGCGTGCTGCAAGGGACAAGAGACGCCCGGCGCAGAGTGTTTATTGAGGGGCGGCAGAGCCCCCCAGCCGAGGCCCCGGGCCCCGCTCCCGGCACCGCTCCCGCCGGGCACGGCCCCCCCGGCCGGGCCGCCCCGCGCCCCCGGGCCGCCCCGCGCCTCTGCCCGCGACGGGAAACTTGTAACAAACGGCGCGGCAGGCGCGGCGCCCATTGGCCGGCTGGGGCGGGACGGGGCGGGGCCTCCGCTTAAAGGGCCCCCGCCGGCCTGAGCGCCGGTGTCCGCTCCTCCGGCGCGGGGGGGGGGGGGGGGGGATGCCCGGGGGTGACCTGCCTGCCCCGTGCCCCGATTCGGCGCCCCCGCTGGCGCGTCCCCTCCCGAGTCCCTGGAGCCTCCCCGGGAGCCTTTTCCCGCAGCGACCGGCACCGGCTCCGGCTGCCCCCGGGCGCAAGCAAAGTGCTCGGGCTCCGTGGCCCGTCCCCCAGCACCTCGCCGGCGGAACAGCCCGTAGGTGCCGGGGCCCGGCCGGTACGCTCCCGGCGCCCCTGAGCCCACGGGAAGCCGCCGGCCTGTTTGCCAGCAGCAGCGACAAAGGGCTTTCAGCCGCTGCCAACTCCACGCCAGCGATAAACTCCTCGTGTCTAGGTGAAAGGTCCCTTTTGGCCATTACCAGTCCCTGGGGGCCAGCAGAGCCTTTTGTCCCAACCTTTCTCCTGGGACAAGCTCGGGAGCGTTGAGGAGGTCTCTGCTTGTGTACAAATTCCAGAGGCGTAGCTTCCCTGTGCTCAGCCAGCACGCCTGTAACGAGATAAGGAAAGAGCACTCGTGAAATGCTGGCTGCGGAAAAGAAAGAGAACATCTTCACTGCCGGGGAAAGGGCCTCAGTTTGGTCCAGTTAGCAAAGTGTTTTTTCTTGAAGGTGTACAACAGGCACGGAGTCTGAGCCAGAAAACGGTTCTGCTTCTCAGGTAGTGCCGCCTTAGAAGATGACTGCAGTTGGAAACTATCATCTCATCTATTAAACTACACTTGCTCTGTGAGTTCTGCATTCACACTGTGGACTTATTTTCACCTATTTTTCCTCCAGTTCACACCAAATTGAAATCACGATCCAATCTTATGACTCTAAGCTACCTTATCTTGTTATAGGTACTTCTGCTTTCCTTACTGCATGAATACAGAAAAACAGGGAATAGAGCACACTAGCAGATCACTAGCCTAGCATCCTGCCTCCAACAGGGAAGAGTAAAATACGAGACAAAAGCAAAAATCCTCCATATAAATATGCCATAGTATATCTAATGTTAGTTAAGAATTACTCCTGATTGCTAACTGATAACCAAGGTAAAACCCCAAGCCTGACAACTGAGTATCTCTTACCATTTTCTTACCCTAGTGAATGTCACTTAATAATTTTTTTTTTTTCATATAAAGCCAAATTCCCCAGGCCTTTATTCATTATTTACTCTGGCACTGGAGCCGCTGGCTTTCCTCATGATGGTCTGTAAGATATGACCCATAAACCACAGCCAGCTTAAACTACCGGGAATGATTGCTTTCCCATATTTGAGCTCTCTGGGTTCAAGGGCCCAGTTGTTTGTCTCAGAACAGATGAAGCTGAAATAGTCCCCTGAAACTGAGAAGAGCAGAACCTGCAACAGCTCACAGCATCTCCCTAAACCCTCACAACCCTGCTGAGGGTGACCAGCGGTGGTCACAGCCTGGTGGTGGGCTCACACCAGGCTGCTGAACCTGCACTGGGGCCAGTGCTGCTCACGACAAGTGGCAAAAGCAAGTGCCAATGAGGCTTTGTCATGGTACTTGTGATGTGAGAGAAACTAAAGCTGTAATTCCTTGTATTAACACTGCTTCTGCTAAATTTCTTGTATTAACTCTGCTTCTGCTACCTTTGCCTACATGTGTTTCAGCAGACACCTGCAGAGTAGCTATTTCTTTCTTGCTTTGTATTTCATATAACCAGAGCAGCCAGGAACATCAACTTCAGGTACACCCAGGTCTTTTGAGGGTCAAGTTATGCACACCTGCTCCCAGTATCTTCTCAGACTGTGTAGCCATGAGCATCTCTGTGTTCTAGCAGGTTCGGGAGAAACTCACACTCTCAGGTTCCTCCCCAGCTAACCCTGCACCTCGGACTAGTAAAGTACCATGGCCTCTCTCTTGTTCCACAGCCGCAATGCCAGAAGCAACAGATTGACAGATCACAAGGTCTCTGTTGATCCGCAGCATCCAGCATCTCCTCTGAATAAGGCACGGTGGCACACTGCTGCAACCAGTAACAACCAGCTCAACAGACCCCCAGAGGAAAAGAAGCCCTTGCAGAAACCAGAGCTGTGACCTACTACTGAAACTCTTGTCTTTTGTGATCCCTGCCCCGAGGACAGGGCTTGATATGCTGGATGGGTTCTCAGTAGATGACAAGTCACACTGCTGCATTGTATACTGGAAAGAAAGCTTCCTGAGAGGTCTGGAGGTGTTGCTCCTCCACACACATACAAGTTGTAGAACACTACCAAGTAACATCTATCCAGGGACAGCAAAATATTTTCCAGGGGTAAACAATAGTATTAGTCCCAAAGGAGAAAACTAAGACAGCAGAAGGTTACTTGACTTTCTGAAGGTCACTGAGGAAAGCTATGGAAGATCCAAGAATAGAAGTGGTATCTCCTGGCCTCTAGCCGTGTGCTCCCAGACTGTAATCTAGCCTGTTACTAGATCACACTGCTGGAGCTATGCAAAATTCAGTGGTTTCACTTCCCAAGCATCTCATGTGATCGCTTTGCTTTGGTTTTGGTTCCCGTGGGTCTCTCACCCTTGGAGTTTTGATCTGCCTACCGGATTCAAACCAAATCCAAATCTCAAACCTAGTCCAACTTTCCTCTGGTCAAATGATAAAAACATGAAAAATACATCACATAACATTTAGGTGAAGCCCACACACCTGCTCCTGCATTGCTTGAAGATCTCTTTAAATTCCTCATGGCCAGAATAGGAACAGAAGGGAGGCAAGTGTCAAGTTTCCCCTGCAAGAACCCATGGCACTGTGGTGACAGGGAGAGGGCAGGGGGGCTGTGAGCTGAGCCGGGATCCTGGTTCACTTCCACAATACCCACCTGTTCCTGCCTGCTGCTGCCATGGGGAAGACACCCCTGGAGAACTGCCTTAGCTCCTGGAGTGCCACATCTTAATTTCCCTTGGAAACTTTCCTCTCTGGGAATCCTGGCCAAAGAGTACAATAGGGGAGACAGGGGTAAAGACAATGCTGCAAGAGTTAGTTTAATGCACAGATGCCCTGAGCTGTGTTTCCCGTTGTGCTTGGAGAACAATCTAATACCTTCTGCAGTTTATCTTGCCCAGGGTGTACCACTGACGCTGCAAGACACAAGAACAGGAATGTGCGTGGGTGCAGAAGGCTCCATTAGACAGGCCTGGCCAAGCCTTCTCATAAGGAAAGAGATGCTATTTTCACCCTTTGAAGTCACCTGGGGATTTGCTCGGCCCACCTTCCACACTGAAGTGCTCTTCAGCCTCCCTTTCCTGCACACTGTGCCATAGCAGGACCATGCCACATCTGTGCGGCCACTGGTATGAACATCCCGATATTGAAGGAAAAAAAAAAAAAAAAAAAAAAAAAAAAAAAAAAAAAAAAAAACCAAAAACCAAACAGCCAGGGAAGAGGTTCAAGTGCCATCTATTGGGGATCTCTCCTCATTACACCAAGGGAGACAGAAGGATGAGCTGGGAAAAAAACATCCATCCCTTCTCACTTATGACCCTGACTGGGTGATGTCCGAGACAGACACTGGAGCTACAGCCAGTGCCAGGCACAGAAGGAGCATCTGTCTGCCAAGAGCAATGCCAAAAGAGAATAGCAAAGCAGAAGCAGAATGAAAGCTGAGCCTAGAACTTGCTTGGAGGGAGATGTGGGCCCAAAGCCGGGCACATTTTGAATGGTGCCACAGAGCAGGGCCATCTACCTACTGTCTCAGCCACAGGCCAATGTAGATAGATAAAAGCAGGGGAGAAGGAAAAAGTCCACAAAAATAATGATAATTGTTCCCAGAACAGTATGACTGACAAAACAGGCAAAGGGCACCGAGCTCTGTCCCTGAGCCAGCCACCAACCACTTATGGCAGGTACCTCAGGGCATTTCTCCTCCCAGTGTGTTAATTGCTGACCCTGTCAGCTCCTCCAGAAGGGATCATCTCTGACTTGGCCTCTGTGCGATGTCTGCCCTAACACACGCCAGTGTAACCCCAGTCCCCACTGTACAAACCGTAAACACCCCATGACCCAGCTGCAGGGGTGAAGTTGCAGTGCACACAAGTGCTCTCTGAGCTCTGGCCGTGTGGTCTTTATACCAGGAGTGTGGGGCAGGTAGTTAGGAAACACCCCTCATGAGATCACAAAGGAGCCCCTCACTAAGGCTATAGGTACCCCAAGGCCACCCTTACCTTAAGGGCTACAAACTGTCCCAGAACTGACCCAGCTGCTGTCATGCAAACACTATGGACATCCAGGGAGTATCAGGAAGGGATGATCAGAGATGGCTGAGACTGACAGCTATCTGTTCTCTTTTAGATACATCTTTTTTAGGCACATCTGAGTGATATACTACCTAGGATATGTGTTTCTGCAGATGCAGTTTTTGACTGCCGTAAAAAGAGGAAAAGAAACAGAAAACGAAGAGAAAGGTGTTCAGAACTTACTGATCCCTGCTATTTGATAGAGAAACAATGACCATGCCAGCATAGGCCACGTGACAGCAGTATGGGAAAGAGATGATCCTCTTCACAGCACTGCTGGGCAGCCCCATCTCTGTTACAACTCCCCTGCTGACCATTCTCTCCCTGCAAATTGCTAGGGCCAATTGGAAAGTCAGCATGTGGCTAATACACCAAGAATCAGGGAGAGCAGGATTACCATGGGCGTTTACATAGTGCTTCTCTAGCTGGTAGTACAGACGGTTGTTTCTCTGCAAATGGGCCTGGAAGGGGCCCCACGACACCCACTTGGTGATGGGCCGCTTGAACAGCACGCACAGAGCTGGCAGTTTAGCTTGGCCAGATGGAAGCTCCAGGGTAGCAGGGCAGCCTATCCCGTC